CCAGGACACACATGAACCTACAATAGGATACACATACTCAATTTCTTAAAAAAAAAACCCCACCACATCTGAAAGTGAAATTGGACCATTATGAGCTTCAACTTCCGTTAGTGTTTCCATAAGGCTACTGTTAACTATACATTTGCTTTTATACTAATTTCTATTAAGGAACTGAAATGTTACATAACTTTCAAGGGTGGTAGCCCTGGGTGTTGAGGCTCTCCAAACAGACACAGGACCTTTTCTTTAAGAAGGCAGAAGGCAGAGTGAATGCCATGAACCACACAAGAAGTGCACCATTAGTCTGTAATGAACACCGCTAATTATTAAATAAATATGTTCACAAGAAAGCGGAATAATTACAAAGTATTGCTGAAATGGCAGCTTGGTACAGACAAGCTTAAGTGGGCACAGGAGTTCTACCTGTTTTTTCCCAATAAGAAAATTCTAGTGGCACATTTTTAGAAATTGGTGCATGTATGCAACCAAAACACAACCAAAGTGAAGAGCCACAGTCCAAATTAAAATATAATACCATGATCTATTTTCACAGATCCTTCATATATAGAACCCAAACCCCTTTAATACAAAACAGAGTGCAACATAAGAATGATCCCACTGGATCAGACCAAAGGGCCATCTAGCTCAGTATCCTGTCATCCAACAGTGGCCAATCCCAGATGCTTCAGAGGGAATGAACAGAACAAGTAATCAAGTGATCCATTCCAACAACCATTCCCAGCTTCTGCCAAACAGAGGCTAGGGAAACCATTCCTCCTGATCCTGGCTAATAGCCATTGATGGTCCTATCCTCCATGAATTTATCTATTTCTTTTTTGAACCCTGTTCAGAGGCCCTCATTCAGGAAGATGAAAATGGTACGTAAGCAGGAAACAGCTGAAATTGAAAGTAGTGAAGAGACAAACATCAAGGTCAAGACTAAGACTTAAGTCAACCTTACAGTAATGTTACCATTCCAGAAAACATAATAATGTTCATTTAGCACGCAAAAATGTTTTAAAAAATTGTCTTTCCCATAAAAAGTGGGAGGCATCAATCAATTTATTCAGTGACAAAGTCCTCGCAATGGGACATTATTTCTACGAAACCAAGCTATTGTCCGAGACGTTCTTTTATATGATGCATTTTGGTTTAGCAGCTTGATAAGTTTTCACTCTAATTAGACAGGTGTATTTGATTATTTTCAGAACAAATCTGCTCTGTTTTACTCAAAAAGTAGCTACTTCATTAAAAAGGCAGTTTAAAATTCATAAGGAAAAATATATTAGTTCATAGGGGTGACACTACATCTGAGTTATAAGACTGGACCAACAGGGAAAAGGATGGGCCATCAAAACAGTGGTCAGAACTCTGCTAAAGGAAGAGATGGGAGCTGAGCTACACTGTATGCATCTGGGACTAAGGATCAGGAATTATTTTTATTTATTAAGCAGCAGGAACATTAATTCCATCACAGAATTCTAGTAAACAGATCAATGAAGATAAAATAATTAGAATTCTATCCCCATTATTCAGCCACCCATTTATTCTGTATTTCATAATACAATTTAACTAGCTGAAATGTACTGAAAATTATGAGTCATTTCAAAATTTGAAGAGCTGCCAATTTAGCTGGTATTTTTAAAAGGGCTCCAGTTTTTCCTTTTTGGACACTCACTGATACCAATATCCAATCTGTTACTATTATTTACAATTTTAATCCACCTACTTCATTATCCAGAAAAGTAGCCTTATAGATAAGTGTGACTTTTTACAATGTTTCCCAAAAGAGCAATATTTCATTTATAGCCATGCCTTTTATATGCCAAACACTTTTCAAATGCTCAACGACAGTCCCAGCTCCAAGAAACTCACAATCAAAGGACAAATGAAAGCAGATACAGGAAAAGACAAAAATAGGTGATCTATACACAGTTAAGACTCCTGCTCTCAGTGAATTGAAGTGAGATTTACATGGCCCACACAGAAAAGCTCAAGAGGTTGCACTATGCAGTGGGAGGCCTCAAGGAAGAAGGTACAGAGGTGACCGTGCTAGAGGTTCACAAATGGTGGACAAGGCTGAGAATAGGAGCAGTGTGTAGGGAACAGATAGGAAGCTTGACTAGGGAGGGGAAGAGTTCTGTAAAGCTCTGAAGGTGGCAACAGGAAGCTTAAATTTGATGTGCTAGCAGATGAGAAGTCAGTGGAGAAATTCAAAGAGGAAAGTTACAGGATCCAGTTAACAGACAAGGAAGCAGAGCTTAGCAGCTGTATTTTGTACAAATGTGCGTATTTGAGATGCCAGAGAGAATGAACCACAGTAGCCAAGGTGAAAGAACAAGAGCCTGAATGGGAGATTTCATTGTGGGAATGGAAAGGACAGATGCTGGAGGTGTTGAGGGGCAGGATTTTGATAAGGCCTGGATATGTGGGGCAAAGGAAAAGGAGGAGTCAAACAATTTTGATATTTGGGACTGGGTGACAAGTTAAGATAGTAGTATTCTTGACAATCAGAGGGAAGATAAGGAATTCTGTTTTGTTAGTGTTAAAATGACAAGACATCAAGATGAGGGATTGGATGGAAATGTTACTGGTGAAGAGACAGATTTGTGACTCATCAGCATAGAAATGCATTGCCGCAGACGTGTTTTTTGCTAACTGCTCATTCCCATAGATCATTATGGGCTTTAAGTTGAAAAAGCTTTACATATTGTGCTACTGCATCAAAGGCAGCCTTGTTAGCAACCCTTAAAACTGAACAACTGGAGTTGGTGTCTTGCCATTCTTAGAAGGCCCCTGACTCTGGCATTCTCCTTGGACTAAAAAAGGCCAGAATCTGCAGAGCTGGAGAGCACACTACAGGTCTATCTATTCTCACAACTGTTATGAGGGGGCTGACTTTTCACCTATGAGTTTTCAGATCTAATTTAAGGGATCGACAGACTGTCAGTATGGTGTATGCTTACCGAAAGGATGTATGTGTGCTTAGTGACAAGTGACAGGAGCATTATCATCATTTTAAAAAGAAAAAGAAAAGGAGTACTTGTGGCACCCGAAAGCTTATGCTCAAATAAATTGGTTAGTCTCTAAGGTGCAAAAGTACTCCTTTTCTTTTTGCGAACACAGACTAACACGGCTGTTACTCTGAAACCTTTAAAAATAAAATAAGCTGCTGGAGGATACACTAGATAAGGGTCTAAAAACTACTCTGCCCAAAATCCTGAATCTACTAGACAGTCCTGGAACAGGGCCAAAAACATCTGCTAGACCAAATGACAACCATAGGTCAGACGGTTCATGACCTGCCAGAGTGAGGAACAAATGCTTTATACCAGTGGAAAACTGGGAATCAGTTATTTTGCCTCTGTTAAGAAAGTCAATTTTTTAAAAAAAAACCTTCAATTTTTTAAAAAAAAACCTTCAGTTTTTTGTTAAAATTGTTTTTAGAGAAGAGAGTTAAATTTGGCTATATGAAAAGACTAGACAATACATTAGAGATTAATATTTTATTCTATTTGTAGGATGTATTCTATTCTAAAAAGAATGTAAGAAACAGTTGACATTATTGATAGTCTGGATTGATAAATAAAACCATGGAAAGATTTATCAAATAGTTTAGAAGGCAGAGTGGCAGAGTAATACTTGCAACTCATATGCTTTCTACCCAAGCAAACAAAAAAGGTAGATATCATCCCCCCTTTTTTATGGATGGAAACACTGATCAGCAACATTAACTTGCTTGCACAAGACTACAATGTGAGCAAGTATTAGAGCCTGCAAAGGAACCTAGGTCTGCTGTCTCCCACTTTCTTGTCACTAAACCACATTGCCTCACAACCTTGTGTCCATAGTTGTGCCTTTGGGAACTTCCAATTGAGTCTCTAAATATTTTCACTTTTCATACATATATGGAAGTTGATCCTGCAGATCTTAACACATAAAGAGTTCAAATCTCCCTCAGTTACAAAGCTGTAATGACCAGTAGGTCAATGTGTTATAGGCATTAACTGAGGGCAGTAATAGAACCCAAGAATAACCCTGGCACTTGGGTCTCCACTATCTTGCAAACTCTGTAGTTATTTACACATGTGCAAAGTAAGCATAAGGTGAGTGTAACACTACAGTTCATTTCATGCTCACTTTGCACATATACACAATGGCTAAATATCATAAAGCATCTGACAGGTTAACAGTCCTCACGGTCATGAAAATGTAATTGGATTGCCTGCTATTCCCTGGGATACAGCAACAGTACCGTTCATTCTAAAAATATTAGAACAGGTAATTTAGCTATCCTACCTCCAAGAACTAGACTTTTTTTTAAGTGCAAGGTAATATGCTTGTCCCATTTTGTACCCGAACCCTCCACTCCCCATTTTCAACAGCTGCTATCTTTCATTTCCCATTATTGCTCCACTGCTTCCTTACCTGTAGCTACCTGACCTGTAGCTGCTTCGGTGTTGCTAACATTAATTATAACTATGTTGGCAGCTAAATCAGTACAATCACTGACAAGTACCACCCCTGCATGTGATGTACACATCTCTTTCATAGAAGTAGCCTGCAAACTCTTTAAAGGAGACACCTGCAGTTGGTTCAAGTATGAAAAGAGCACACGATAAGCCATCATACTTTATTGATTAGGAAACCTTACAAGCCACACAGAACAAATTGTTCTGCCCCACTGTTAATGGTAGAGTTTACTAAAATTTTACTTGTTCATATCTTCAAAGTCATTTCATGGCTTCAACTGAAATAGGTGAAAAAAGTTAAAACTATTGGATTCTTCTGAAAAGTCAGGTGAAAGAGGCTTTAAAAAAAACCCTCAACTTTTATTTGAAGTTAATGGGAGTTGCAGGTACTCAGCACCTCTGGTTCTGAGTCACATTGGTTTTCTGTGAAAAAACTGTGCACTATTCCCAAGGGCTAGAAGCAACATAAAGGTGTTAATGTCAACAATAAAAAAAAAAGAAAAGAAAAAAAGCTAAAAACTCACTCACTGTCTTCTGTGGGGAGGACCTGCAGGGAATAAATCCATTCTATTATATCATCTTTGTTCACCACATCTAAGGAATCCAACATATCCAGACCAGAGAGTGCGAAAAATGCAATTGTCAACCTAAAAGAAAAAGATACGACTTTCACTTCCCACCATAAATTTCACACTGGAGGTTAACAAAATTTAATACAAAAAATGAAAAAAAAAATTAAACCTCAACTTTCTGATCTTGAGGAGTGAGACACATTAAGTACAGTATAGCTTCTACATAAGGAACTTTACCTGCAACAGTGTTTTAAAATTTACTTATTTCTATACTCTTGAATGAGGCTCTTCATTACATGAATCACATTTCCTTTGGTATGATTAATGAAGTGCCATATATTTAAGTATTTGCACTGGAAAGAAAAGTGAATCAAACATACTAGCTTGCTAGTGGCAAGCCAAGCCTCTGAGGACATGTCTCCGCTGCAATGACACCCGCAACTCAGGTTGACCTGGGTCTCTGCCAACTGACTCGGGCTTGCAGGGCTCGGGTTAAGGAGCTGTTTAATTGCAGTGTAGATGTTTGGTCTCAGGCTGCAGCCCAAGCTCTGGGACCCTCCAGCTTCCCAGCATCCTAGAGCCCAGGCTCAAGCATGAGCCTAAACAGGTCTACACAGCAATTAAACAGCCCCTTAGCCTGAGCCAGCTGGCATGGGCCAGCCATGGGGTTTTTAATTGCAGTTTAGACATACCTTTAGAGCAGCGGTGTCCAATAGAAATTTGATGCTAGCCACACTTGTGGTTCTGAGTTTTTCTTATTAGCCACAATTCAATAGCCCATTAGCCACATGTGGCTAGTGGTGAAGGTATTGGACACTGTTGCCTAAGAGGCTTGTCACAAGCACATGGACTGAGAATTGTTAAGGACAGCTAATGGACATTAGGGTAAGAGGAATGGAAGGAACACAAATCAAACAAAACCATTATTCAAAAAGGTTCCTGGGAATAAGGAGGTAGAAATGAGACAAGAATGTAATGGGTACTCTTTTACCTCAAGTACAAAGCCAGCCCCTGTGAACACGCACATATATATTCTTTCTAAAGCCGCAGGAGTTTTGGTAACAGAGCGTAGCAGTGTCACTTATATTTCTGAGCTGTGCTCAGACAAGACTTTCTTCCGTGTAATATCTTAGATAGGTCACATTGCTAAAACGTGCCTTTTCTCAAAGAGTGCCGCATGTGACAGTACTGTATCTTTGCTCTTGTCATGAAATATCAAGCACGGAATACCATACATCCACATTAGTTCAAATACATAAGATGTCTGAGGTAAATCAAGCGAAAGCTAATTTGGGAACAATGATGATTCTATGGTAGTGTCAAAAACACATCCAAATTTAGAGATATAACAGCAGGCTGTCCACCGAAAACTCTTCCATGGAGCCAAATGGCCTTTTTAATTAGAGAGCTGCAAAGTTCTTTGAGCAGCACAAGATTAACCCTTCAAGGCTTCTTACAGTGGTACCTTCAGATGATTATATCTGTGCCACCACTCTAGTCTTTGTGAACAGTATCACAGCAAAAACATTTTGAGTCAACAAAATGGAAAGCTGATCTATAGACTTCATTTACAGCATCCCATTTTGGCACAAACATCAAATTGGCAATATTATGAAACAGTGTGTGATGGTTGTTTCACCTGCCACTTCAGGTACTGAATAAATTTCAATTTATAGTCAAGTGTCAAACATATATTTGACACATTTGCCTCCAAACTGAAATCTACAAAGTCAGGAGGCTCGTACAAATGAAGGGGTCCAACAGATATACTGATTTGGAGTCCCCTGCTTTCTTTTTCTTTTTTTAAAAATCAAGCCTCAGTCTGAAGTTAGAGAAAAAGGTCCATACTGATTACCAAAAGACTCAGAACGCCTGGTCCTCAGGTATGGACAGAGAATATATTTTTCAAGTACAATTCAAAAACCTTTTTAAAATGACTATTTGAGATGTTGAACAAGCAACACAGGAAAAGTACCATGATGTATCACAAACTTCAAGTAGACTTGACTCAAGGGACAGAAGATCTTATGGTCTTCTCCTTGTAAAAGAGCTCTGCAAGCACTTACAGCACTGAGTGTGATGGTAAGAATTACATTACTAAACTATCACTAAAAAGTTACCATTGCTATTGCAGCACAGAATAGCTAGAGAGAATTAGATATTCTCTCCATTTATTCTAGTTGTTCAGGATACCGCTGCTTTTAATTAAGTTGAAAATTTAAACCTGAAAATACCAATAAACCCCAAAAGTTGGTAGAATACCTGAAAATATGTTACAAACTGATAATAAGTTAAATCAGTTGAAGTTATTTCAACATCATGCCCCACTATGCAGTAGGTACAAACACTACTGATGTTTAATTATTTAATTAAGTACACCATAGAAGCTACAGTGCAGTTAAAGATTCTCCCTACCACTAAACAGCCAGTAAATGGAGGTCTCCTAAAAGTGGTATCAGCACTCGCTTAATCAAAAATATTGCGGACAGACTCCATGCAAGTTTCAACACAACTCCGCTAATACACCCCAAACATGGTTTACCAAACCTTGCTATTTTAGATGCCCAACTGTGCAATGTTTTGGTGACATCAATAAATGTCTAGTGAGCACTAGCTTTAAGAGCTTCAAACTCATTTTCACTTTTGACCTGCACTGGTATTTCAATGCAGAGATCAAAGACTACTTCACTAATCTATTGCACAATTTATATAATTAATGAAATGTATGGTAGGAAGGGAGAAAAAGGACAATGTCTAAATCTGTCTTCCAGATAGTTGCAAATACTGGGAAATTCAAGTGTAAAAGTATAACTAGGCAGGCCAAAAAAAGAATTTGAAGAACAACTAACAAAAGATTAAAAAAAAAAGTTACTGTTAGTTAAGTACATCAGAAGCAGGAAACCTGCCAATTAGTGGGGCCACTGGATGACTGAGGTGCTAAAAAGAGCATTAAAGGAAGATAAGGCCATTGAGGAGAAGCTAAATGAATTTTTGCATCAGCCTTCACTGCAGAGGATGTGTGAGGGAGATTCCTACACCTGAGCCATTCTTTTTAGTGAACAAATCTGTGGAACTGTCCCAGATTGAGACGACAAAAGAAGAGGTTTTAGATCAATCTGATAAATTAAATAGTAATAAATCACCAGCACCAGATGGTATTCACCCACAAGTTCTGAAGGAACTCAAAAATGAAATCGCAGCACAACTGCCTATAGTATGTAACCTATCATTTAAATTAGCTTCTGTTCCAGATGTCTGGAGGATGGCTAATGTGACACCAATTTTTTAAAAAGGGTTCCGAGGCAACCCTGGCAATTAAAGGCCGGTAACCCTAACTTCAGTAGCAGGCAAACTGGTTGAAACTATAGTAAAGAACAGAATTATTAGACACATCGATGAACACGATTTGTTGGGGGGAAGAGTCAACACAGCTTTTGTAAAGGGAAATCATGACTCACCAAACCACCATAATTCTCTGAGACAGTCAAACAAACGTGGACAAGGGTGATCCAATGCATATAGTGCACAAGCCTTTGAGAAGATCCCTCACCAAAGCCTCTTAAGCAAACTAAGCAATCACGGGATAAGAGGGCAGGTCCTCTCATGGATCAGTAACTGGTTAAAAGACAGGAAAAACAAAGGGTATGTTTTCAGAATGGAGAGAGGTAAACAGCGGTGTCCCCCAGGAATCTGTACTGGGACCAGTGCTGTTCAACATACTCAAATGATCTAGAAAAAGGGATAAAGAGTGAGGTGATAAAGTTTGCACTCTTTACAAAATTACTCAAGATAGTACAAAGCAGTCTGTGAAGAGTTACAAAGGGATCTCACAAAACTGGGCGATGGGGCGACCAAATGGCAAATGAAACTCAATGTTGATAAATGCAAAGTAATTCTTATAGGAAAACGTAATACCACCTTTACACACAAAATGATGGGGTATAAATTAGCCGTTACAACTCAAGAAAGAGATCCTGGAGTCATCACAGATAGTTTTCTGAAAACATCCACTCAATGTGCAGCAGCAGTCCAAAAAAGCTAACAATGTTAGGAATATCTATCCCTTTCCTCATGTTTATGACAGTGAGTATAATAACGCCACTATATAAATCCATGGTACACCCACACCTTGAATACTGCGTGCAGTTCCTGTCCCCCATCTCAAAAAAGATGTTGGAAATGGAAAAGGTACAGAGAAAAGCAACAAAAAATGATTAGGGGTATGGAACAGTTTCTATATAAGGAAAGATTAAAAAGACTGGAACTATTCAGCTTGGAAAAGAGACGACTAAGGGGAGATATGATAGAGGTCTATAAAATCATGAATGGTGTGGAGAAATTGAATAAGGAAGTGGTATTTACCCCTTTCACGTAACACAAAAACAAAAGATCACACAATGAAATTAATAGCAGCTTTAAAATGAACAAAAGGAACTACTTCACACAACGCACAGGTCAATCTGCGGAACTCATTGCTAGGGGATGTTGTGAAGATCAAAAGTATAAGTGGTCAAAAAAGAATTATGCAAGTTCATGGAGGATAGGTCCATCAAAGGCTATTAGCCAAGATAGTCCAGGATGCAACCCCATGCTCTGGGTGTCCCTAAGCACCTGACTGCCAGATCCTGGGACTGGACAAAAGGGAATAATTGCCTTGTCCTGTTCATTCCCTCTGAAGCATCTGGCATTGACCACCGTTGGAAGACGGAATACTGGGCTACATGAACCACTGTTCTGACCCAGTATGGTCTTTCGTATGTTCTTATGAAATACAACGTAAGGAATAAACCACCCTATACGGGCCCCAAAGTGATAGATGTGACTTATTATGTCTGTTCCATCTCTAGGTAGGACTTCATGAATATTTCACCCTTTTGTCACGTACCCATAGATCACTGTATGTCTTGGATTAAAAAATGAAATAAAAATTCTCTTATCTGCTCTCAAGCTCCCACAGGCATTTTACCTTCCTGTCTTTTCCCTCCTATTTGTTTATTTGGGGTTTTCCCTATGAGCAGAAGTTCTGTGGATCTTCTTTGCTGCCAGAGTGGGTAAACTTTAAAAGTTTTTTTTAAAATAAACTTGTTTTAAATTTATGATAAATTATGTTACAGTCTAAACTTGCTATAATCTGTTCACATCATTTAAATAAAATAAAAACTAATATGCTGAAACTCAACCTTTATGAGTTAATGGCTGCTTTTTATATTCAGAGTCAGGGAGAAACACCTTTAACTTCTGACACTAAGCCTTATAAATAGCACAGTATGTCACCTACTACATTAAACAGTTAAATAATTTCCACTCTTTATAATGGAGTGAATGATAGTATTTACCCTTCCCCCACACCCAAAATATCAGTACTTTCAGCCAGTACAGAACAACTTTTGCCTTCTTTATTTTTGATATCAGGTTAGCAAAATGCTTGAAGCCATTCATCAAAGTAACCTAGAATTGTTCAGAGTGTAATTTCTAATGTGGATTTAAACAATTAAAGTAGGGAAAAAAATCTAATAATTTTAATTAACTCAGTTAATACAAAAGTTAAAAATCTTGGCTTTGGGCATTTTAAATAGGATTCCAATTTCCATCCAAATGCAGCTTGGAATTAGTCATGATCAAAAAGTTAGGTATCTAGTAAATAAGAAATACATCATCCACCAGTTTCCACCATAGTACTTAATTTCTGCATTTTGTACCTGAATAACGTACATTGAGCTCTCCAGTTACTTTAACAGATGTACAAGTATAGTGCATTCTCCTGGTTAGCAAAAAGAATGATCAAAACTAGTGCAATGACTATATTCAGTTGTAAATAATAAAACTGACATCTTAATGGCTACATCAACCAGTGAGAATTCATTTTCTCAAGATTCAAAGTACACATGGAAAACAAAACTCAGATTATAATTTAAATTATTGCTTTAAAACAAGTGATTTAATTAATCCAACCTGCATGCCTGCTGACCTTAAGTACACACAGCAGGGAGGAGCTCCTTCCAGTGTGAGGAGAACAGCCACAAGGACCGGAAGGATCACCTACTTACCTTTCTCTTAGCTACTTTTGTCCCAGATGGCCTTAGGAGGATATAAACTGCAGCCCTGACTACACTAGTATTTGCAAGTGCTCTCACATCGCTGCTCTAACAATCGTAGGAATACTAGTTTAGAAAAAGCAATAGTATTTTAGCACAGTGACATCCAAACTTTCATGATCAGAAAACATTTTGGTAGGAACAGGTATGCCCTACGTACAGCCCCCTCCCGCCCGCGATTACTACCAGCAGGGCAGCTGCACTGGCGATCGTGCAACGGCGGCCGTTTTCCCACCACAGGCTGGCGCGGCCACCCGCAGGAGGGAAAGAGCAGCTCAACGCACGCTACCCAGAGCCCCCGCACGAGCTGTCCCTGAGCAGCAGGAGCTGCGAACCGCCTGTCCGGTACCCGCGCGCTAACGGGATCAGGTGCGAGCGGCTGCGCTGAGGCCTGCCCAGAAGCTAGACGCGTGGAAACTAGATCCAGAGACTGTGTCACAGACCAGACCCCAGCGCTAGGGCCTCAGAGTGGCCGAGACGCGAGCGGGCCGGACCCCCCGTCCGCGAGTCGGCTACAACCAGAATCCGACCTGGAGGCGCCTCGATGTGACGGGCCTTAGGACAGCTCCAACGGCCCCCCCTCAGCCCCGCACGCACTCCCCCCACTTTGCGGCCCTCTCCCCCCAGCGCCTTCCCAACCAGGCCGGTACCTGCTAGTCTCCAGGGACGAGTATCTCTCGGGCAGGATCTGCAGGCAGCGCTGGAAGAAGCGCACGTGCCGCTCCTTCAGGAAATCCAACCGCTCCTCATCCCCAATGCCCGGATCCTCCTCTGGCGCCGCCATCTTATCCGCCCTCCCCACCCTGGCAGCCACCCGGCGCGCACAATCTGCGTCACCAGCCACATCCGGCGCGAGCAACACCCGATGGCTCACGTGATCTCGAGGGTAACGTGGTCTTCGTGACTCAAGGACGCAACACTGACGGCCCCGGCCGCAAGCTGGCTAGCTGGTTTTTGGAGGCGTGGCCAGAACGTGACTTGCCACGTGCCTGCCCGCTGTGGTCCATTCAGGCGCCCAAGCGAGGTAGAGCCGCTTCTCCTGTGATCACTGCGCGGTGGAATGAATTATGGGAGCATCACGCTACGATTATCATAGAATCATAGAATATCAGGGTTGGAAGGGACCTCAGGAGGTCATCTAGTCCAACCCCCTGCTCAAAGCAGGACCAATCCCCAATTTTTGCCCCAGATCCCTAAATGGCCCCCTCAAGGATTGAACTCACAACCCTGGGTTTAGCAGGCCAATGCTCAAACCCCTGAGCTACTAATAGTGATAGCGCTCTGGTTTGTTCATAGTTTGTAGACCAATCCATTAAATAGAGTGTATTTCCAAATCATTTTTTAACTTTTATTGGTGTGATTCGTAGACTACCCAATAAATGATGTTTGAAAGTTTCTTTATAACCAAGGACATCACCAACTGATGTTTTCACAGATTCAAATTTGCCTCAACTAATATAGTGGCATTAATATTTCCCTTTAAATAATGTCTAAGTAGTAAATATATAGTAGTAGTAAATATACAGTGAGATGGAGCATAAGCATAGCCCACAACCTTCATCCTGTCTCTGTTCCATTCTCTCATCCTTTTAGAGAAGTCTTCCTTTCTCTTTCCTCATTCTCAGGTTCCCTGTTCAAACCTTGCCTCTTCCCATTCTCCTGTCCTTGCTTCCTATTCACTCCTCCCCACTTCTCAAGCTGAAGAGCCCACTGCTAAACTCCAATTGCCTTCTGCCAAACTCCATCTTCTTTCCCTCCTACTCCCCAATCCAATCATCATAAGTCAAATCATGTGAATTTAAAAAATTTCTTACACAACAGTGTACACAAGATAAATGCCCTCTGATGCTGTTTTTCAAGCTTTTTTCTTCTTTTCAGAATATTGAAAATAAGATTCTCACCACAAAAGGAGAAATGTACACTAAGTCCCTGAACTAGTCTGAAAAACTGCTGTTGTGCATGTAACTGTAGATGATGCATCTGATTTGATGACATAGTATCTGCTACATCTGAGCACAGACACTGTAGTATCAGTGGTAAGCCCATAATCATTTATCCCTCTCCAATGAAATAAACCAAATGAAAAGTCAGGGTTGAAAGTGGCACATAGGAAGCCCAGCAGAGATATTTATGACGTGCCTCTCTCTAGTCTCTAGGGAGGGTACTTGTTTCATTCCTCAGTCTTGCAGTCTGTGGTAACATTATATTCTGCCTAATTAATTAAGGTTAACATTAAGTGCTCAAAGAAAGGCAACTTCCTTCTCTCAGGTGTTCATGTTGTTGAGCTATTTCTACATTGATTTTATGCTATTGACCAGCCTGTTTTCACTGCTGTTATTAAAGAAATCCTGGCAGTTTAGCACCTTTTTTTCTGCCCTACAAAGTATGCCATACCATCTCGTCTAATTTTAGAGATACAGGTTCCAACCTCTGTCCTTTTGCAAGCAGACATATCAGTGGCATTGTAACTGAATTTTCTTCTCATCTGAGTACAGAATTTTAATCAAACACTTATCATATATACCTTTAGTGATCCATTGTTTCCATGTGCCCTCTAGCAAAGGTTGGAACTTTTTAATATATTTATGGAATATAGCACACCGTATTCAGAGTCAAATACCAAATATTCCTATGATGCACTGACTATCTCGGGCATGGCAGACTTAAAACACCTTCCAACACATATAGCTTACTTATTTTAATGGAAGAATTGCCCTTTTCTGTCCTAATATATTGGACCATTTGATATATTTAACTGCATTTGCAAACACTCCATCAAATACACATTCTCATGTTAACCTTAAAGTGCAGTTGTATGGAGAACAAAAATGGAAGATGTACACAACCAGTATGCAGCAAATATACTCATTTTAAAGAAAAGTGCCCACGAAGAATATTCATGTTTAGCCACAATAGAAGGTGTAACAAAAAACAAAAGGTAATTTGAATAATACTGTCAACTTCACAAGTTACCAAAAATGTATTTGTTTTGAGTTTCTCTCTACAGTGGAAGGAAATTCTCAACTGTGTAATTTAGAATAACCGATATGAGATGACTTTGTAGATCTACACCTACTCTTGCAGGGCAGGACTGTTCCCCAGAGTACATTTCATAGTGGTTTGATCGAGTCTTTTAACAGAACCAACAAATGAAGTTATTTGTGTGAATTACTTGTAAATTAATCAACATTACTTTTTTTGTAATTTCATAATTTTAAATGAGTCATTTTTAAAAAGTATTATTCATTGTTTTAGAAAAGAGGTTCTCAAACTGGGGGTCACAAGGTTATTACATGGGGGAGGGGGGTCTTGAGCCGTCAGCTTCCACCCCAAACCCCACTTCACCTCCAGCATTAAAAAATATATATTTAACACTATTATAAAAGTGTTTTTAATTTATAAGGGGAGGGGGGTTGCACTCAGAGGCTTGCAGTGTGAAAGGTGTCACCAGTATAAAAGTTTGAGAACCACTGTTTTAGAAGGCTGTTTAGAATTAATTTATATTTTCCATCGCTCTATTGCTCCTGTGAATAACACATTACGAATCAGGCCTTAGCATTATGAAAATTCCAGCTTCTAGTACCAATACTTTGAGAAATTTAGAATAAATGGCCTGATTCTCCAGCATAAACATCGCCTAAACCCACCAGATCTAGTAAGATGATTTCCTCTGCACAGATCCTCAAGCGGCATAGAGCCAACACAGTAATTTAAATAGCACCTTCTTCCTAACTACTGGCAAAGGGGGAATGGCTGAACCATGTGATATCTGCCATAACAGCTCATTGGGGCCACTCATGGCCAGTGTAATTTACACCATGGACTGGTCCAAAGCCCAGAATGAAGACAGCAGACAGGTAGTTTTTACATCCTGTAGGAGGAATATAGGTCCATGTTAGAACTGGGTGAACTCTGGTTTTAAACAGAGTGTGGATTTTGATGCGAGTCAGGCCCAAAGCATGTGACCAAAAAGAATGAGATCATGAGAACGAAGGGTTGTTTGTGTCAAACTTGTAGTGATCCTGGAAATAATAGTATTATCTTATTTAAAGTTTGGGCTAAGCAATAGCAATAAAGAGAAAATGTTAACTGGGCACCAGGTGCAGTAAATAATTGGTTAGAAATGCAGAGTCCAGTAGCTACAGAAAAATAGGGCAAAGTGAGATAAGGGGAAAAAGCTTGAAGAAAGCAGAATATAGCCCCAAACTGCTTGAGTTAGTTTTAGCTAAGCTCCAATAATAGCAGTGACATCATTTGTTTGCAATAGCATGTAAAAAGCAAGGTTTTCTAGACATTCTTTGTCAGAGCTTTTCCTTACCCCTCTGGAGACGCACAATGGGAAGGTATCTCCCAGGCCTGACCCAGTTGTGAGTAGTCAGCCAATGCTTATAACTGCATTGTTGCTGGGTATAGAATATAAGGCAGTATATGCTTATATTGATATTTTGGATGTAACCAACACTAGCTGAGATTTCAACTAATAAAGGAATGCTTGTGTGGAAACTGAGTTGTGTTAAACCTTAAATTTAAAAGGGAAATTATTTCCAACACTGTCCGTATAGCAATTCTTGCTGTGAGATGCACTAATTTCTCCTCAAATACCACCTGGGATCTGGCTGAAAGTTTCCTTCCCAGTTGAGGAGCAAGGTATAGAGTTAATACTGTGAAAACTCAGATTTCTCAGGATCTTTAGATGTATTGTTTTACTGCATAGCAAAAAATGGAATTTTGTGGGATTAATACATTCACAAAAAATATATACATACTAATTTGGGGGAGTGAATAAAAACTGTAGAGGCAGATTCAATTGCACAGAGCCTGACTCTTAGATAAGTTTCTCAGTGAGAAAACAGACTGACCCGTAACCACCATTTTAAAAAATACTGGATCAAATATAGTACTAATGTACATTTTCTATTGGCAATAGTTTTCCTTAATTTTTGTTACTTTATAAATACCAACTCTGACCTGAAAAATAATGTTAAGAGTATTCAATGTACACACAACTCCTATAAATAAAATTGATGGAAATAAGAGTTCTTTCAAATCTCTGTATATGGTACTGGTGATGTCATGTATGAATTAAAACTAGTAGATGAACCAGAATATCTGCACTCCAGATATCTCAGGATATTAAGAAGGTTGTAACTTAAAAAGTTATTTAAAATACAGCAATGTAGTCAGCACTACATGCTCTTTTACAATATTATCATTTTACAAATAAACCTTGGATTTAAAAAAAAAAAAAAAAAACCTCCAAAACTTAAATTGTTTAGATCGGAAAGCTGAGTACAAGTAAGCATGCTGTATTTATGTGATGTTGTCTTGCCTAGTGACGTCAAGGATCTCAATGCATAGACAACTAACATTCTTGTCCACAAGTATTACTTGTAAACTGAAATAATAGTAATAGGATGAAATTTAATAATGAGAAGCGTAAGGTCATGCATTTAGGGATTAATAACAAGAATTTTAGTTATAAGCTGGGGGGACGCATCAATTAGAAGTAACGGAGGAGGAGAAGGACCTTGGAGTATTGGTTGATCACAGGATGACTATGAGCCGCCAATGTGATATGGCCGTGAAAAAAGCTAATGCGGTCTTGGAATGCATCAGGCGAGGTATTAATACCGTTATACAAGGCACTGGTGAGACCTCATCTGGAATACTGTGTGCAGTTCTGGTCTCCCATGTTTAAGAAGGATGAATTCAAACTGGAACAGGTACAGAGAAGGGCTACTAGGATGATCCAAGGAATGGAAAACCTGTCTTATGAAAGGAGA